GCATGTCTCTTGAGGTAAGAAACTAGATATTTTTTTTGCTTGATTTCTGATTCTGTTTCATCGATTACTTCCTTGAAAAGCGCAAACAAATTAAAACTTGAGGCAATAGCCATATATATCTAAATATTAGAAGTTAATGTTACAGAAGTTCATACCATCTTCTGCATTGTGCTTGAGGAAAATAGAGGAGGAAAAAAACCACCCTTGATCTTTTATACGCAAAATGTTTCTTATTTGCTCAAATTCTCAGGCAGGTTATGAGCAGTCAATTTAATTCCTAGAAGGGAGATAACTTTAATGAAGTAAGAAATGAAGAATGATGCAACAAATGGAGATAACGTTGACTCGTTTTCCGTCTCACTGATAGATATCTAGGGGAAACATGGAGGTGTTACATGCTCTCAATGCTATTTTTTCTGTTATGTAGTAACACAAGTTTTCTGTCTTTCCACTGACCTTTCTACTGTTCATTTTTAATGAGAAAGAACTGTTCTGCCTCTGAAAATGCCCTTACTGAAATTAGTTGTGTGTCAGGCCAGAATAAAGTGGTCTGTGGTTACAGAAGCCCCTTTTTCTACCTTTTCTTTTACATAGGCCCCTTCTTGCTGCTCCTCTTTCTTCAGTAAATGTATTTCCCTGCTTGCTTTGGTCTGTCAGGTGTGTTTTCAACCCTTTTTCTTTCCTGAAGGTACACAAAGGAAAGGGTAAGGGTGTAAAGATGTGAATTTAAAATTCATCCCACAGAAGGAGAATATTATATTTTTTTTTATCCAACTAAACAAAAAAATAACCCACCTAAAAATAATACGTATAGAAATGAAGATGCATAATTAACTCATCAGGCATAACAACAGGTTCTTCTATGCTCCTGTAGAGCAGAGCCACAAATACAATGACAACTATGGTTAATCTGTAATCACCTACATTTTCCCTGAGATTTGACATACTTTTGCTGCCAGGTTAACATTGATTTGATCAGTTCTGAAGCTCGCACGCTAACAAATTTACTCAAATCCATGTGCAAATAAAAGATGAGATGCTGGCTCTGGGTGTTCTGATTAGAGCACGGCATAAAGTCACTTCTGAGCGGCGGCTAAACAGACTAAATGGCCTTGGATAACGCTTGGATGCCACCGTGGTGGTGGGATTGCTGAGCAGCTCGTGCCATTTTGCTGTGCACCCCCAGACTTCCAGTTGTTTAACAGGTCCTTCACCTGATGTCCTCCAGGGGATAAAGCGTAGCCCGTGTCCTGGCTAGGAATCAGTTGCGGGAGGGTTCCTTGTACCAGGATGTGCTTTTCCAATGGATAATGTGTTCAAGCTTGTTTGCCTGTTCTTCCAACCATGCTATATTGTTTTTATGGCAGGAACTTAATCCTCAGCTGGACAATCCTAAAACCTATCTAAGGAAAAGCACGAAATGAGAGATGCTAAAAAGTGACCCTGGTATTATTTAGCTGAGTTAATTCCAAATGTAATACCATGGGTTTAACTGGAATTACACTGGGGATTAGTTCAGCTGATAGCTGATCGCACTGTAATAGCTGCCTGGCTTCAGGAGTTGGTTGAGCAGGTGCTGCTTGCCTCCTCCCAGCCCCATTCCCCCACCTCCACATTGTCCCTGCTCCTCCTTCCCCACACTGGGCCCTGTTCCTCCTCCAGGAAGACCTCATCTGAGGAACCCCACTTATTCCACTCTCTTTCCTCTCGTCTCTCCCTTGGCGTTTCTCATGTTCTGTTTTAAGGGTCCTTCTCCCACTTACCTCAGGGAGCTTTGCAAAATCCCACCATCTTTTTCCTTTTCCATGGAGGGGCGTCATGCCAGGGCACCAGCGTTTTAAACTCTGCCAGAATGAAAGATAGAGATGAAACAGGAGTATTTTTTACAGTGAAGGACGTGTGGCTGCTGGTGATTGTGTGATGAACCAGGAGGTACCCACAACTCCCACGCCCAAAGCGGGCTCTGCATGTTGGACCTAGAGAGAGCACTTGCTCTTCTGGGCATGGTTAGAAGTGAGTTATCTCCTCCTAGAGGAGAGGCAGCACTGTTTGCATAGCTGTCCTCATAGCCCTGGGCTGGATTCATGGATGGATGGGTAGGGACCAAGAGGAAGTGGTCAGAGGACAAGTGCCATGCTGGGTCAGGCCGTGCATCCCCAGGTGCACACAAATAACACGATGTGCAGAATTACCCACGGGGAACGCTTCTTCCTTTGTCACTGGCTCACGGGTCATCCCAAGGACATAGTGTGGATTCCCTCCACCAGGATGTTGCCTGTCCTCCAGTTCAGCAATGTTCTGGGACTTGAGCTTTTCCAACAGTGGAAAATTGAGAATTTTTGGCAAAGCTATCAGGCATGGGCTTCTGTTCCCCGCACCTGCTGAGGTTTATGTGCTGGTGGACCACTGTGTGTTTCTTTCTAACCTTCTTGGTGTGTTGGCCAAAAAGTTGGGGGCCAGCCTACAGCGCTGCTTGTTTTTAGGCATTATTATTATCCTCCGGAGGTGATTTTTTTTTACTTGTTTTGCGTGGGATCCTGTTCCTCCTTGTTTTCCTGGAACGCATAGGTGGTTCCTGGCTGGGAGCAGGACCCATCCTTACCTGGATGATGATGGCTTTTACCTGAGAGGCATGCAGCTGGGCCAAACAGCCCCCATTTCAGCAGCCAAACAGGCCTTTCCCCACTCCCTGCCCTGATGGCAGGAAGCAAGCTTGCCTCTCAGCTCTGTGTCCACAGGCGGGTTGGCACAAATCCAGGCTGGGCTGAGAACGGCTGGAGAGCAGCCCTGAGGAGAAGGACTTGGGGGTGTTGGTGGATGAGAAGCTCAACATGAGCTGGTAATGTGTGCTCACAGCCCAGAAAGCCAATGGCACCCTGGGCTGCATCAAAGTCAGGGTGGCCAGCAGGGTGAGGGAGGGGATTCGGCCCCTCTGCTGCGCTCTGCTCTGGTGAGACCCCACCTGGAATATTGCCTCCAGCTCGGGGGGTCCCAACAGCAGAAGGACACGGAGCTGTTGGAGCGGGGCCAGAGGAGGTGCTGGGAGGGCTGGAGCCCCTCTGCTGGGAGGACAGGCTGGGAGAGTTGGGGGGGTTCAGCCTGGAGAAGAGAAGGCGAAAAAGGGGAGACCTCAGAGCCCCTTCCAGTGCCTAAAGGGGCTCCAGGAGAGCTGGGGAGGGACTTTTTACAATGACATGTAGTGATAGGACGAGGGGGAATGGCTTCAGACTGGAAGAGGGGAGATTTAGATTAGATATTAGGAAGAAATTTTTTGCTTTGGTGGTGGTGGTCAGGCACTGGAAGAGGTTACCCCGAGGAGCTGTGGCTGCCCCATCCCTGGAGGTGTTCAAGGCCAGGTTGGACGGGGCTTGGAGCAACCTGGGCTGGGGGGAGGTGGCCCTGCCCAGGGC